GACCCGAAGAGAGAGGATTGTGAATTAAACGACAGCCTTGGATCAACACTCCCGGCAGAGTGGGTGTGTGACTATATTTCAAATAGGTCCAGATAAACAAGCAAGAAATTGTGATATTGGAGGAGTGACACGAGGATATAGGATAGGTGAATAGCCCAGGGCAGGAGAGATACCACAACTGTTTAGTACACATTTGGTCAAAGAACCAACTTAATTTGTCTCAATGATGAGTTGTAGTGTGGTGCTAAGAATGATAAGGCTCATTGATGATGCGTCTTGGAATGTACCAAGTCCATGGTCCGAATCTGGAAATTATCATGCATACTATGGATTCCGGACAAGGTGCTTTTCTCTAGATCTTGCTGCTAATATGACCAAGTTGCGAAAATAAGGTCAAACAACTTCGATAAAAAGTGAATTTCAAAAAATATGCAACGGATTATAAGCTCGCGGGGACGAGGAAATCATTCTTACAAGACAAAGATAATTATCCCATGAATAATTTCTCTTTAGTATCTTAAATTATATAAAGCCCTATTATAGGCTTTAAAAAGTTCTTTTTTATTTGACCATGGATAATTTTCAAATATACTAAATCTTTAATAAACTAAAAATTTTATCGTCGCATCAGAGAAGTATAGTTATATAAATGTTGTAGTAACACGCCAACTGAATGGACTGATGATTCTAGAGATAAGTAAATAAGGCCAACATCTCTACCTAAACATTTTGAGTAAAATTAAAATGAGTTTAATATTATAAAACGGATAAAATAATAATAAAAATTTAAATAATAAAGCAAAACACACCTCGTCACATAGATCATCTTCAACTTCAGCAATCCTTCTGCCCTCTAGCTCGTTTTCGCGATCGATCTGGCGAGTGACAGCCTGTGCAAATTGTTCCTTTAAATCACTATCGTTTGGATGACAAGAAAGGTGGCGAATGACTGGTTTAATTTCTTCAAGTTCATCAGACGCAGCTGAGGACACCAGAAGCTCATCGTCAGCAGACATATGGAGAACACTGCCAGCGGCAGAAGCATCGTTTAAACAGATACCAAAGTCTAATCCAGCTGAGGCCGATACATTGGTACTTGTGGTAGTTAGCAAAGGCGAGAGATTGGAGGGGAGTGATGGTGGGGACGCGGAGTAGGCTGGAGTAGAAGGCAGATCACGATCATAGCAGGAACCGGAGTGGACCCCTGATAATCCATGTGGGTCGGGTTGACCAAAGTTTGGGACCGCACTCAAAGATATGCCGTTGGTGAATGATGTGGAGGGGGGAAGACTGAAGCTACCAGAAACGGTGGTAGATGGCCAAAGAGGCAATTGGAGCCCACCATTGGCAGCAACATCGGAATAAGGGTCTGCTGGGACTGGAGATGATCGCCAAGTTGCATCAGCAGGTAAGAAGGATCGCTTAGCAGCCGAATTTGGAGGGGAATTTGATACACTGAGAAGACAAAAAATATTTAAAGTATTCATTCAATTCACTCCCGATAAAAAAATGAATTATAAGGTAATGGAGTTGGAATCATTAGTAAGAAGGGGGTTTCAAAAGGCCTGTCAATAATTTAATTGTGTTTAAATTCTCTTATATGGAAGAAAGCTCTATTCAACCTTATATGGGAAAGAAGTAGTCTCAGAGAAAGAAAACTAGCCGATACTTTTAACGGCAAGTTTTATGGACATACGCAATAACCTGTGATGGTATAATAATCATAGGCAAATAATCATATAACAGGTATTAGAATTATCATTGAATGTAGCAAATGTTAAGGAACCAGAATATGATAGCAACATTTTCACTTTAACCATAGGTATAAATCGAAGGTTGCATTTTAGTGCAAATAATTATTCGAAGCATGAGGCTGCTAAAGAAAAACCAATGAAGTAGGGAATTTACCAAGTTACAAGTTATTAACGGATATATGAGAAACAAAAAATATTTTACCGTGCTTTTTTTAATGTAGTGTGGTGTGCTCTTTCGAGTGGCATTCATTCTATCTATAATACGAAGTCTATGACTTGCTATGCCCTAGTCTCTTGTGTGCCAACACACAAACGTTGTGGCTCAACATTGAAACTAAACAAAGCCAGCAGTACCACAACATTTGTGGCACACAAGCAACTAGGGCATGGCAAGTCATAGACTTGGTATTAGGGAAGGAGACAGGATAGACCAGGCGGCGATTGGAGCTAGTTGGCTGACAGTAGGTTTTACAAGAGACGTAGTCCATGTAGCAAATGCATGACAATGAGACTTACTCAGAGGCTTTAGCCTCTAATCAATCGCCCAGGTGCCGTGGAATGACGAATTATGCCTCGAATATCACAGATGGGGGAAAGGGCAGGGGTCGAGTGAAATACATGTACCAGGGAGATAGCAGACGGATTCGAAGGAGCAAGAGGGAAACTTTGATAGGACCCAGCGAAGGACTACGTAACCATATAACAGACTCTGTTCAACATTCCCAGCACAAGGGTGAAGACGGTGATAACGACAGTGTGGAGTGTGAAAGGGTTTTCATGAATTCCGCTAGAAGAAGCACACCACACTACATTTAAAATAAGCACGGTAAAAAATCTGTGACAGGGAAGGCATGATAGGAGGATATAGGAAATGTGAATAGGCCAGGGCAGAAGGGGAGATACCATAGCTGTTTAGCACAAGTTTGGTCAAAAAATATTTTAATTAAGAATATCGAGACTATTTGGGGTGAAATTAGGAAGCTTAGAATATTTATCACGTCCTGAGCCAGGATCCACTTATTTTTTCTAAAAGATAGAATAAAAATAGAGCACAAATCTTAATAATTTCCTCGTTTATGCTCAATTTTAGAGAAAATTGATCCATTATCCAGATAGGGCTGTCACAGGCGA